CGGTGACACTGGAGCTGGGGGGACGGGTTCCCCCACACACACCAAGTTCCCAGGGTCACAGAGTGCCTCACCCAGGGCTGTCAAGATGACGGGCGCCGAGCTGCTGCGCACCACCAGGCCGTCGAGAGTGAGGCGCGCGTGGCAGGTCACGGGCTGCCGGAGGTCGCTGGTCCTGGCGCGAAACGTGTAGGTCAGCGTCACATTGGCCGGATCTAGGTCTTTGAAGCGCTCCAGGCTTTCAAAATAGATGATCCGGCTGCCGTGCCTCAGGGTCACCACCAGGAAGCCCACGGGGAACACGTGCGTCACGTGGCAGCGCAGAGTGTACCGGCCGCCCGCGAGGACGGGTGGCTCCAGAGTCACACTGCGCGGGCGCTCTAAGGCGAGAGGGAGACCCTGAGAAAGGCCCGTGGGCGCCCCCTAGCGGCTGTCAATCACCGCCTCCCTCCTCCCCTTCCCCCGGCTCGCCTGAGTCGCCTGAGTCCTCACTGTAAGCGCTGATCCTGGCGGTGGCCTGGCGCGTTTCTCCCGCGCAGGTGACGAAGCAGCGCACAATGGAGCTCCAGGCCGTCACATTCACCAGCTCGTAGGATACCCAGCCCGGCCCGGTGACCGTGTGGCGGTGCCGCAGCTGAGTGAAAAGGCTGGAGTTCGCCGGCAGGGGGCAGCTAGTGCTGCAGTTCAGCCACACCGAGTGCCCGGGGGCCACTGCCACCAGCTCCGGGTTTAGACGCACCAAGAACGGCACTGAGGCTCTCAAGGGAGCGGGAGAGCTGGGGCTGAGGCTTTGCGACATCTTACCCTGGCGCCTCCACGCGCTCCCACCTACAGGGTAGGCGGTCACTAGCAAAAAGGGCAGCGACAGGAGAAGCAGAGACCCCATGGCAAAGAGACCCCAAGGAGGGGCCTGGCGCCAGGCAGCCAGGGCTGGCTCTGGAGATAAGGAGGCCCCGTAGCTCCGCCTCGGCAGACCCGCCCCGGAGAGGGCCAGGGGCCCCCAGAGAGGGCCCAGGAGTCCCGCATAGGACACCTGCCCTGCTCCCTCCGACCAAGGATGACATTGGGACACCATTGTCAACCATATGCTATTTATTTTTCTGGATGGGGATCTTTCATTTCCACTGCAGTCACAGAAGGTCAGGAAAAGCCCCAGATTTGAACTGGACCCTCAGGGTTGGGCCCAACAGCAGGTTTTTCTTGGGAGAGGAAGTGGGAGGTCAGGGCTGTGGTAGAGGTAGCTAGAAAAAGTTCCACCGGATGTGACCCCTGCCAGCAATCCATGCGAGGTCAAGGCCAGAGCTGCTTTATTGGCTCCAAGGCAAGGCTTCCATTCCAAGGGATTCCATGATTTAACTGCCAACGGGTGCCACCACATTTGGACATGGTCACAGTGTCATTGTGAACGCTGGCAGAAATGCCTGTCGGTTGGGAGGTGGCTCACAGTCCATTGCTGGTTATGGGTAGTAAGGGTTTAATGAGTGGTTGCAGAACATGTACCCATGGCTGGTCCATACAGTGCCTTTGTGCTCAATAGGAAAAACACCCTTTGGGAAGAACACAGCTTGGCCAATAGAGAAATCCTAGACCCGCTCGATATTTTTTGCCAGGCACTCTTGTACAGTGCACAGCCAGCTCAACTGTACCTGCCAACTCTGAATGTGTAATATTAGCTTGCTCAAGAGAGTATGTAAAGGTGCATATATCCAATGATGAATGTCATTCTATTGTACACCTAAAATGTACCAATAAAAGGATATACAAAAAAAAATTAGCTTGCTCTGTGAAAGCAGGAACCTATGTTGACACTGTTCACCATTTTAGCCTTCCTAAAAGGTACTCATTAAATAGCCAATTTGTAAAAAAGTAATAAATATGTCATTGGGAAGAGTTGGGGAGAATCAATAGACAGCAGTACCAGAACTGGCATCTTTCAGAGGTAATGTGGGTATGAGTGTTTCAGTGCAGCATGTGTCTGGTGGGCGACTTCCTTCTTAGGGCTGTGGGGCCTTGCCACATGCAATAGGGAGTGAGTTTCCCTATTTCCTGGCTGTAGGTCTGCAAAGCCACAGCTTTGTGTCTCTGTCACTATCCCTGTGTCCAGGCCAGACTTCCACATCCATCAGAGACACACCCAAGTCTTTTTGTTTTGAGACAGGGTCTCAAAATGTGGTTCAGGGTCACTAGTGTGGTTTGAGGATGGGGGTTTAGCTCAGTGGCACAGTGCCTGCCTGGCAAGCACACGATCCTGAGTTGTATTCTCAGTACAAAAAAAAAAAGTTAAAACTAGTGTGGTTTGAATTCACTGTGTAGCCCAGGCTAGCCTCAAACTCAACTCGTTGATCCTCCTGCCTCAGCCTCCTGAGTGCTGGGATGACAGACATGCACCACCCCCCCCAACCTCATGTCCAAATCTTCTTCCTCCTTTTGGCTCAGTCCTGTGGCCACAGGTCAGGTATGCAACCCTGAGGTCCTATACATGCAGACACCAGAACCCCGAATGCAATGTGTACCCCAAGGCCACCATCCTGTCCTGCCACCCTAGAAAGTGCATGTAGCTAAGTGACCTGAGTCCACCATTCTGTTCGGTTCAGCACTGCTGCGTCTGGGAGGAGGCCAGCTCTGGGTGGGCTGGGGCAGGCTCACCCAGGCCGTTTAGATTCAAGGCTTCTTCGGCTGCCTTTTGGAGCTTGTACTTCCTGATTTTCCGCTGTCGGTTATAGAAGTACATGGTTAAGGCCACAGAGCTCACGATGGCTGCTATGGCCAACAGCACAACGATGATGACCATGTTTCTCGGCTTGTCTGTGGGAGGATAGGGGGAGGGGGAGGCTTGAGCAGGGCCCACTGCCCGAGTCCCCACCTGGCTCCACACGCTGGCCACACTGGTACTCACAGAGAACTGTCACCAGCACCTCCCGGCTGGCCTCCCCGCGCCAGCTCACAGCACGGCACACGTAGGTTCCCTCAAGCTCCCGCTTGACAGGCCTCAGGTGCCCGATGGGCAGCGAAGTGTTGTCACCCTTGCGGTGACACTGGAGCTGGGGGGACGGGTTCCCCCAGGCCTGACACCTCAGGGTCTGCTCGGACCCCTCTGGCCAGGTCCAGTTCCCCGGGCAATCGCTCTCGTCTAATCTGGGGCCATCTGGAGAAACACCAGGAGGGGGACAGAGGTCAGGGTGGCTCGGGAGCCTTAGGGGTTGGCCCTCAGGGCACGGGGCTCAGAGTCAGCGATGCCACTCACACAGGACGGTGAGCTCCTGGGTCCGGTTCTTGTACAGCACCTGCCCGGCCACTTCCAGAGCCACAGAGCAGGAGAAGCGGCGGCCGTTATCCGCAGCGCTGGCGTTCAGCAGCAACTGGGACTTCTGGGGCAGTGGCTGGGCTGGGGCGCCACTCAGCGTCACCATGGCTCCAGGGTGAGCCTCGCACTGCACCATCACCAGGTCCCCTTCAGAGGCCTCGGTCGCGCTCAGCATCAGGATGGGTTCTGGAAAGCCTGGGGCGGGGGGATACATGAGCCCCGCCCCTAACGACCCCCCCCCGCCCAGAGGCCACACCCACCGATAGCCCCGCCCACACCTATTTAACTCTAGATAGGTTCTTGCGGCTCAGGAAAGCCTGTGGGCGGGGCTATGGTGACCAGAGCCCGGAAACCCATGCCCACCAATCACCCAGTCTTACTGTAGACGGTCAGGTTCCTCCAGGACTCCAGACTCCGGTTCCCCAGCAGGACTGCACACACCAGCCGCTGGTCGCCCTCCTCCTGCGCCGTCACTTCCAGCGAGGCCGTGGCGGACAGGGAGTCTTTGCCGTACGTGACTGTGGCGCTCAGCCTCCGGTCCCCCAGCGCCAGGTGGACCTGGGCCTCCAAGGCAGGAAACAGCCCATCCAGAGAGCAGGTGACGGGCTGCCACGTGCCGGCCTCCAGGACCCGGGGGGTGTCAAATGCCGGGGGAGTTGCTGGCAGGACTGGGGAGAGAGGGTGGGCGTGAACACAGAGGAAGGGACTCCCCGAGTCCTTCTCTGCCACATTTTCATCCTCCCACCTGGAAATTCTCTTCCAAGGAAACTCTGGCTTTGGTCACCCCTGCCTTTTTACATTTAATGTTACTAGTATTATTATTTTTGGAGGGGTTACTGGGTATTGAACTCAGAGCATTCACACTGAGCTACATCCCCGGACTTTTTATTATTATTATTATTATTATTATTATTATTATTATTTAAATGTTGAGACAAAGTCTTGGTAAATTCCCTAGGATGGGCTTGAACATGAGATCCTCCCGCCTCAGCCTCCCAGCATGCTGGGATTACAGGTGTGCACCAACACACTTCACTCACCAGCCTTAAGACTCCCTTAGCCAGGGCCACTGCCATCTTGGAAGGTACTGTGGCCACGGTCACCTCCATTGCCAGAACATCCCACTTCTGACACCAAAGAATGTTCTTTCTAGAGTCTCTGCAGTCTCTACCACCCGCTTCTGGGCACCCCATAGCCAGGGGACCCCTCTTCCCCAGGAGCCCCTCCCTCTGAGCCCACTTCCCCAGTGCCTCACCGAATGTCCGAAGCTGTCTGGTGGCTGACTTGTTCAGGAACAGCCCCAGACCCTCGGCTTGCAGGTCCAGCTCCGTGCGGCATGAGAAGTTGGCACCGTGGTCGCCTCTGCCCACTGGCACGGTGGCCATGACTTCCGTGGGCTCCCTGATCACCGGCTGCCGGCTCAGCTCCTCCTCGTTCCGGAGCAGCACCGCGGTGAGCCTGTTCCGGGGCGCCCCACCCACCACGAGGCAGCGCAGGGTGAGGTCCTGGCCCGAGGGCTGCCAGGGTGGCAGGGGGCTCAGCTCCACCTCCTCCGGAAACACTGCAGCGACACAGGGCACAGGGAGTGTCCTTTAAATTGGATGCCACCTCCAGCCAAAGACAGGCCACACCTCGCTGCACTGTCCCCTCCAAACACGCCCAGCCACCTAAGCAGACAGGAATGGCAAGAACTCAGGGAAACCTGGAAAAGTGCTCTAAGGGTGGGGAACATTCTTGATTCATGGTGGCAGTGGCTGAGAAGTGGAAAAGAATTTGTAAAGCTGTTACCTGGGCACCTGGTCAAAGAAGTAGAGTAAATTGAAGCAGCTCAATGGCTAGACATTGCTTTTGTTATTTGGTTTGTTTGTTTTTTGGTACCGGGGATTGAACTTGGGTCCTTCCTTCCACTTGTGCAGCAGGCAGCGAAGCCACTGAGCTAAATCCCCAGCCCTGTTTTTTGGTTTTTTGAAACAGGGTCTCACTATGTGGCCCAGGCTGGCCTAGAACTCCAGGTGATCCTCCTGGCTCAGACTCCCAATTGCTGGGCTCACAGGCATGTGGACCATGCCCAGCTAGAGATTGTTTAAAAAAAGACTCTTGATAGGTTGGGGGTGCAGCTCAGTGGTGATCACTTGCCTGGCATGTTGGAGGCCCTGGGTTCCATCCCAGGACAAAAAAACAAAAAAGCAAATAAAATAAGACTATTGGGCTGGGGATTTAGTTCAGTGGTTTTGACGCCTGCTGCGCAAGCAGAAGGAAGGACCCGAGTTCAATCCCCAGTACCAATAAATAAATAAATAAATAAATAAATAAATAAATAAATAAATAAATAAAAATAAGACTACTGCTGTACCTTCTCAACTTTATTTTTTCTCCTTTTTTTTTTGGTACCAGGGATTGAACTCAGGATCTTGCACTTGCGAGGCAGGCCCAGTGCCACTGAACTAACTCTCTGGCCCTTATTTTTTTTCTCCATTTTGAAG